AGAATAAAATTTTATTTATGTATTTAATATGAAAAGTTAAATAAAATAAGACTGTTATTTGTGGTCATGTAAGTTTATATACATAAGTTTGCGTTTATTTCAGTCTATTTTATATTTCTCTATATCTATATGTATATTTTCTCAAAGGAAAAATGATGAGGTATAGAAAAATTAAAAAAATTTGTTCTGGAATTTGTCAAAAGAGTGTTGTGTTATGCTTCATTTTAAGGTATCTAAATATATATTCATTAGAAATTTTTAATTTTGTTTTCAAATGGTTTATTCTTTTTCATTACTTTAGATAAATATATACTGACAGTCTTAACTTCATTTTTAATAATAATGTTGTACATTGAATTAGATATAATACATTTCATACTATTATAAAAACACATTTATAAAAAAACTATATAACATATATCACCACATACACACATTTATCAAAAAATTTTAAACTTTGAGCATATTATACATGCAAACTTATATGCAATCTTTTAACAACTATAAAACAACATTTATTAGCATCAATTATTTTTAATGTGTGCAAGATTGTTAAGTGGGGTGTTTTTATATGCTAAGTAACATTTAAAAAATATATTGTGTTTTATAATTAGTGTATATGTTTATATAATGTTGTTTCCATGATTTCAAAGTAGAGTGACTTGGCAAACGTGTAGAGCAAGATTTATCAACCTTACCAGTCAAGCGATGTTACTGCTTTAGGTCTAAGTGTTGCCTAGCCTTTAATATAACTATTCTGAAAACACATTGCATTATCTTTAATAATTTTTTTGCGTAATGTTGTTACCTTTGGCTTATCTTTACGTTGGTGTCAGCTGTTAAAAATGATTAATAGGTAGTTTTATTACTAGAACTCACTGCTTTTATTTATTTACTAAAATTCATTCAAGACCATTTTGCTATAAATACATTTTGTTCATCATGAAAAAACAATATTTAGCAACTACTACTCAGGTATCACAACAGCTTATCTCTATCAGGTACATAGATTTTCAATTCATATATGATGTTTTTCTTTGTATTTACTTATTTGTTACATTTTTAACTTCAGATTTATAGTGGTTTTATTTGCTATAGAAGAACAAATCATTTTGAATTTTTTAAAAATATATATCTACTCCAGTCAACATTCAAAGTTCAATGTTACATATACCATTTTTAAGTAGCTTCTAGGCTTTTTTGATGCTTTTCTTATTCAAGTGGTTTTATAAGCAAGGTCTGCAAGCAAATTTGAGCTGAAAAGTTTTTCAGCTTTCAAAGAGAATTAATGTTGTTCTCTGTTTAATTTAATTTGTTTAAATAGAGTAGTTTTAATAAAAAAATGTTTGTTTGTTTGTTCTTGGTTTTTTACTTATTTGTTTTCAGATTCTTAAGAACTAGGCAACTTAGCAAAGCAATATTTATTTTATTTTTTTAGTGCAATTGGAAAGAGCTAAAGTGCTTTTTAGTCACTTCAAATCATTTGTTTCTTTTTTTAAATAGAAGGGTTAATAATAAAAATATTTAGACAGTGGAACTGTAACTGATTTGAGTAAGTTTAATGTTTTGTTTTATTTTATATTAGATATATATTTTATGTATTTAACATGGAAAACTGACTGTAATTTTTGACAGGTGAGTTTATATACATAAATGTGCCTATATATCGGAATATTTTATATTTCTCTGAATCTATATAAATATTATCTCATAGAAAAAATTTGAATATATATACATATATATATTACTTTAGACTGACATTGCTTCATTATTTATACGAGATTCTGCATTTATTATTTTTGTGCATTAAGATTGTAAGGTAAAAATAACTTTGCATTGTAGTCTAAATTCTTTGCTAAATTAAAATCATGTCAAAAATTTTGCTTTATATTTTTCAGTTGTAAAAATATATTTAACGTTCATTTATTCAGTTGTAACAGTAGTATAGTCACTGGTAATATATTTAATGATAACAGATGTATAATATTAGGCTCGAAGAAGTTATTAGTGTAAATGGTTATAGGTGATTTGAAATTGTTGTCATATGAAAGAAATTGATCTAGGCATGATAAAATTAATTGTCGTAGAAATATAAGAAATTTTGCTTGATGAACAGAAAACTTTTTTTGCCAGAATTCAGTGTCAAGCGGTGTTGATGTCTATTATGTGATTTTACATTAGATACTTTAAAATATGAATTTTAATGTATGAATTTTACTATTTTTAATATTTTAATTTTAAAGTATGAATTTTACTATTTATAGTAACAAGTAATAACAGTTTCAATTTTTAATGATTTTAATTTTTTTTTTATTATTTGTAATCTTAAACATAATTGAGTTCATTTTTTTTTTAGTTGTCTTTGTCATCACTTGATTATTTTGCTTACTGTTGAAACATGGTTTTATTTTGTAAATTTAATATGATGTGAAATTTACAATATTAATCATTTGTCAACAGTTAAAGAGAAGCTGGAACTTAATTAAGAAATGCTGGAAATTAACTTTTAGTTAAGATAAAAATAATATTGTTTATTGGTAGCATAATAAAACCAGTTACTGTTATTTATTGCATGACTTTTTTACTTTTTTAACGTGCTGTTTTTAAAACACTTCCTCTCTCTCTCTCTTAGATGAGACTTATATAAGAATTAGTTATAGAGAGAGAATAGATTAAACTCATGTAATTACTGAGCTCTTGCGTATTTTTTAATACTGAGATTGATAATTTGCTATTTAAAGATATGATTCTTTAAATTGTCCCTTGGTTGTTCAAATATTGTAATAAATAAAATCTTTTTAGTTTCAAGTATTTTCTTTTAGGGATCGTTTATATATTACGTAACGCGAAATTAAAAATATAGACAAAAGAAATATCTCAAAAACCGTGTTTCTCTGATGGTCAACTATATGTTGCATTTTCAAGAACTAGAGCATTTAATAGTTTGTTTTTCAAAATTGATAAACATCTTATTCGAGGTATAGTAGGTAAAAAAAAAAATGTAACATAAATATTGTTATATTTTTTAATGTTCTTAATTTATAGTCTTAAGATTTTCATTTCGAAAATTTACTGTTAAAGGTTGTGAGCACATTTTGTAATTATAACTTTATTTATCATTATTTATTTTTTTTCATAGTTTTTGATAAATATATCTATCATTCAATAGTTGTAAAATGTGTTTTTATGTGTTACATAAAGTCATATTTGTTTATAGTTGTATATATATTTAAACTATAAAAGGCAAGACAACAATTTATATCTTAGTTTGATTTTTTTTTTAGTATTGTTAATGCTTTTGTACTTCGAAACAGATTTTATAGTTACATTTTTGATAAATCTTTAACTGCAATTTCAAAATATATAAATAGGTAAATCGATTATAGGTAATAGGTAAATCGAATAGTAAGCAAATCAAAAATAGGTAAATCGTCTATTAATAGGTAAATCAATTTTCGGTAATTGTGTAGTGATTTTTGTTTTTTTTCTTCTTCGTAATTATGATATCATAATTTCATTACTTTGTTTTTTTTAGAATTACGTTATGACGCATTTATAAGATTTATAAAATAAAAAAACCTGATTTCTTTTTATTGTAAATTTTTGTTAATTAAAAAGATATAAATATATACTATTAGTTAATTTTAAATTTTATCTATTTTATGCCTAATAATTTGTTGTACGTATTTTAAGGGGATCTTTGTATATGGGGGGTTGTTACTAAGAACCTTTAAAAACATGGAGAATATTGTAGTTTTGCGCATTACTATCAAGTTACACAAATTTATTTATGTATTTAACTAATTAGTTAGCTTAGTCTGTATTTGCAACACTTTTGAGGAAAAAAAGAAAACATTCTTATATATGTAGGTCATTGTTTTACATTTTATTATTTATTTTATTTACCTGGTCACCATTAAAGCAAAAAGAGGGGAGGAACCTCTTTATTAGAGTCAAAATATTTAAGAAAATTAAATTTCGAGTAACAAAAGGAATTTTTAGTAAATGGTTGCAAAATACCGTTTACTAAAAATTAATGAAAAAATGGAATTTTTAAAGAGGCCAAACAAATAATATAGAAATGGTCTGTGTTGAACAGACTTAACAAGACCCGGGTCGGGTCAGCTTGGTTTACAAATTTTCATGTTTACTTATCTGTTATAATTTTTATTTTAGGTTTGTTATATGATTCATTAATGCATTAAGTTTACATATTTTTTCAAATTTATTATACCCATGTTTGATCGTAAATTAAATTTTTTTTGTTTGAAACGTATTTGTACTCAGTTGCTTAGTTATTTATAATAAACTTTGTTACTTTTAATAAATTTATTTAAAAGTGTGCATTAAACATTTTTAAGTTAACAATTTTCTTTTCTAAATAAAAATTAATCAAGGGGATGCCAAAAAATTGATAACTCCTGTATAATATAATTTATTCTTTTTAACTTTATTTTAATCTTAATGGTTCGTGTTATAAAAATTATTTCAAGGATTTCGTTGATACTTTCGTCAATTTAAAGCATGACGAAGTGTTATTATTTTGTGTCAGTAACTAAAAACGTATTGTATTAAACTTAGGAAGGTCGATGAAAATGGTTCTGCCTTACACTGTTATGACCTATGCCATTTGTAAATTACTCAAATAATGTTAAGTAGTAATTGTAAATGTTAAGTAGTAGTTGGTAAATTATTTTACCTCCTCATACTTTTTATGTTAATTTTACAGATGGATTAATTTTTTCATGCTGAAGGCGGTTTTCTAAAAGGGTATTAGTTAAGGTTTTGCAACATTAAATTTTGGAAAACAGCCACTATAAATTAATTATGTAACAGACCAACCAAAACCCGTATTACGGGTTGCTTTTTGCTAGTATTAATTAAACTCTACAGTTTAACGTTTTAATACAAAATTTCTGGTCCATTAAACTTGTAAGTTAATTAATAACGCTTAGTAAAGAATTTTAGCAGCTGTTTTCTTATATAATTAGATTCGACAAGAGATCATAAAATGGCCCAATGATTGCGCTACTCTTCCACAAAAGTTTATGGAAATTGGAGGTTTTCCTTGCGTATGTGGTGTTCTAGATGGCTCTCATATAATCCTATCTAACCCTCCTAACAATAACGAAGATTCTTTAATTAATCGCCACCATGTTTATAGCATAAATGCAATGGCAGTATGTGGACCCGACACATACATATACTATGCTTCGACGAACAGTCCAGGAAGATGGCATGATGCACATGTAAGTCTACTAAAAAATTATTTTTGCAACTAATGGTGCACTAATAAGGCTTATCTTAATATAATTTAAATTTTAATCTAAACAATATCATTTTACAAATGATATTGTTTAGATTATAAGAAATTCTAATCTTTGGAACAAATTCGAAAATGGAGAGCTTCCTTTTAATGGTGCTGTGATTTTGGCGGACTCAGCTTACCCATGTCGAGAATGGTTAATTCCACCTTTTCCCGGTGATCCAGACGGTGCACAAAAACGTTTCAACATTGCGCATAGGAAAACCAGAAGCATAATTGAGCGTTGTTTGGTATTGTCAAAAACAGGTTCTATGCTTTGAAAACAGGAATTCGCTTGCATAAGGTTGAAGATGCCTCTAAGCCCATTATGTGTGGATTTGTTATCCATAATCTGTCTTCGATATGGAGATAACGGTAATGATTTTGAAAAAGGCGACGAAGAACAAGCTTCTGAAAATCTAACTCAAGCAGATCAAAATAATGGAGCTTTTAATAGACGAAATCAACTTCTTAATAACTTTACTTAAAATAAATGAATAAAAAAACTTTTAATAAAGTTATTACCGTTATCTCCATATAATATATATTCTTCTTTGTTCTCGGGCATGAGGTCTATAACTATATTTTAGACATGGATCAAGGATTTGTGTTTAAAACATTAGGAACATTAATACTAAAAAAGAATACTAAAAAAAAGGAAAATATTAATGATAAATAATTAAACAAAAATGAATAATTTCTTATTAAACGCAAGAAATTTTTATAGAACTTTCGACCGTTACAGTTAAATGTGTAAACTCCTTTGGAATGTTTTTTAAGCATACCAATTTTTTTTTAAATTAAAGTAATCTACTATTAGAAAGGCTGAACAGGTGCGAACTTCAAAAATGCGAATCTACATAAGTGCGAGTTTTTACATGTGCAAAGCAGTTGCAATAACTGGCTTAGGCGCGAGTCTTCTAAATTTTATGACAAAATAAAGTACATACAATGGCTGATACTTGGGACACTTGCAGCAAAATGTACATACATAGATTTACTGTTAGGTTTCGGGAAGGAAAGCTAATACATTTTCTTTATTTTATTCATTTATTATAAAAGAGTTAAAACTGTCACAGATATGCCAATTCGCACTTATGCCAGTTTTATTATAATTGCTTTGCATTTGTGAAGATTTGCACTTATGCACGTTAGCACTTCTGCCAATTGCTAACAATAACTTTAAATTTTGAAAATTCATTTTAAATTGTATAACAAAATCCTCTTTTAGGGTTTCTTTAAAAGTGGCCCCTGTTGTGCCCGTGCAGGCCACGGGGATAAATAATAAAGGAAATACTATTAAATTAAGATTCTAGTTATTGTCTTGTTTCTATAAGAAAATGCAACACAAAGAGTTCACTGGTTACAATTAAATACTTTAACAAAATGAAAGTTAATTATAGTTACAATATTTTTTTTTAATGTGAAAATAAAAAAATTAATCAAAAATTTATTTTCATTCGTAATTTATTTTCTTCCCTTTAATTTACTGCTTAAGGATTGCTTCCTAAAACAAACAAATATAATAGACTGCTTTTAAATTTTAATATAGAATATTATTTAAAATTAGTTTTAAAATGTATTAAATTACCATTTCTGTATTTATAAAGTGCTGTTGGTTAGAAAGAGGCAATTTATCATTCATTAGCTGTGTTGCAGTCGTATAATATTTGGTTAAAGCTTTCTCTTTTCGTATTTGCTGTTTTCTGAGAGCAACATCCAATTTCAAAAGCTGAAGTCTTAAAGATTGCTCTTTTTGTAATTTTTTTTTTTCCAAGCCCAAAACACTTACTTTCAATTTTTTAAAATTTCCATCTACCAAGAGACTTTCTCGAGATTGTTTTCTTTTCAGACTTTTTAATGCTCCAGTTGATATTTTTTTTTTTTTAGGTGAATCTGTAAAATTTAATTTTAGTATTTAACAGGTAAATAAAAACCTAGTTACAAATAAAATTTAATTTACTGTAAAATTCTAATAATCTATTTAATTAAATATTAAAATTTCCAAATCAAAAAAGTATATAACCTTGAAGTATTGATTCAGTAAAAGCATAAGTGTCTAAATGAGAGGTGCCTGTTTTATCAAATCTTGGACCTAATGCAAATAATTAATTTGTAGTTAGAATTTATTTAATACATTTTATCAACAAAATATTAAAACTTTTATTACACATTAAAATCTTATATCTTATTAAACAATTTGACTCAAATAATTAAAGTATACCAGATATAGATGAAATAAAAGAAGCTGCAGTTAAGGACTGTTCGGAGACAATTGACCTAATTTCTTTACTTGATGTTGAAGGTTGACTGGAAGTGAGTGGAATTACCTCATCACTTGAACCAAACGAGATATTATTATCGGGAACATCAATTCCTGACACATTTATTGATTTTCTATCGACAATGTCTAAAACAACATTGTCCAATTCTGTTAATTGGATTCCCTCAGCACCTGATTAAGCAATGGCTGATTAAGTAAAAAATACCTAATTTATAAAAAAAACCATGAAAACATATATATACATTTATAGATACATACCTACATACCTAGATATATATACATACATACATACCTAGATATATATATACATACATACATACATACATACATACATACATACATACATACATACATACATGCATACATACTTAACATATATATATATATATATATATATATATATATATATATATATATATATATATATATATATATATATATATATATATATATATATATATATATATATATATATATATATATATATATATATATTTATAATTATTATAATAAATAAGACAAATATTTTAAATTTTTTTCTTAAAACCCCTTTTATTAAATTTAATATTCAATAACGTCAAGACTTCTTCAGTTATTATAAAAATTTAAATTTTTACTATATTTACTGTATTTTCTAATATTCTGACAACAATCAATAAAATTATTTGATATAAATTACATGCTTCAACATAATGACAATGTAAGCTTGTAATAGAGAATAAACAAAAAAAAATTTATGAAAACGTTACTAGCTTTTCATAGGATGTATTTAGTTTTATTGACTAGATTTTGTAAACACAAATGACTAATCTTATAGAACAATCATATTAAACTTTGTGTAACAAATTTATTTAGAAAGCCCTAACAGACACATTTATTTTAAAATTACCTGTTTTTAGACTTTTAGAAAACTTGTGAATTGTAGCTTTTCGCAAATAATCCCATTCTCTACTACGTAGCTGATTGATGTCTTCAATTTTTCCCCTAAACTGTTTAAACTTGACATTATATCTTCCCAAATTCTATTCCTATGTTTTATGGTAATAAATGGACCTAAAATGTTAAAAGAAAATTGACTAAATCATTATATAAATAAAAAATTTGTGTAAAGTAAAGTATACTTCTATTGCCTAGTAGAATGCAAAATTTTATATATATATATATGTATGTATATATATATATATATATATATATATATATATATATATATATATATATATATATATATATATATATATATATATATATATATATATATATGTATATAAATATAAATATATATATATATATGTATATAAATATATATATATATATATATATATATATATATATATATATATATATATATATATATATATATATATATATATATATATATATATGTATATATATATATATATATGTATATGTATATATATATATATATATATATATATATATATATATATATATATATATATATATATATATATATATATATATATATATGTATATATATATATATATATGTATATATATATGTATATATATATACATATATATATATATACATATATATATATATATATACATATATATATATATATATACATATATATATATATACATATATATATATATACATATATATACATATATATATATACATATATATACATATATATATATATATATATATATATACATATATATACATATATATACATATATATACATATATATACATATATATACATATATATATATATATATATATATATACATATATATACATATATATACATATATATATATATATATATATATATATATATATATATATATATATATATATATATATATATATATATATATATAGATAGATAGATAGATAGTTTACTAATTAAAACATACTAAGTTTTCCAAGAAGAACATCTTTGTTATCTTTGATTTTCAATGCAAGAACCATTTTAAGTTCTTTAGACAACATTTTATCCTCTTGTGTTGAAATGTGAAAATATTTTGCCAGTATTTATACATTTCTTTATGTCGAGCATTAAAATAAATTTGGTTAACCAAAATAACCATTGAAAGTTTAGTTGAGAAACCATTGAAAGTTAAATACATACATACATATATAGCTTCCAACACACAACACGGAACTGAGTGATCTATTAAATGTAATTAAGAAGTAGTTTGTTAATTAACGAGTTTAACAACAAAGCAAGAATATTAAAAACTTTTTGCTAATTTCTTTGTGGAAAGTAACAGCTTTGTGTGGGTATGTTGAGTTTAATGACTTATTAATTGTGTCTTTTATGTCTACTTAAAACACCGCTATGTAAAATGCCTTTAATAATTTTATATTTTTGTGGGTTGAATAAACTTCATAGCAACAATGCTTTTTAGCTAGTACATAAAATATCCACATAAAAACAGACATTGTAAATTTAAAGCGCTAGCGCTGTTACAATAATGGCAGCAAAAACTTCGAGAAAACTAAAATTGAGATCCAAAAGTCTATCTAAAGTTATTTATCGAAAAAACGAACTTTTTATCTAAAAAAGTGATTCCCTTGGTCGTTTATAGCATTGGACTAAATTTTTATCGTAAAAACGGTTTTTTTCGTAAGTTTATAGCAATGGATTGATTTTTTTCTTCGCTTTTGACAGAAAAAACTTCGAAAAAACGGATAAAATTCCGTTTTTTTTGATTATAGCATTGGCCCCAGGTTTTTTTATTTTATAAATCTTATAAATGCGTGATAACGTAATTCTAAAAAAAAAAGTAATGAAATAATGATCTAATAATTACAAAGAAATAAAAAACAAAAACCACAACACAATTACCGAAAATCGACTTACCTATTTATAGTAACCTATTTTGAAATTGCAAGATTTATCGAAAATGTAACTATAAAATCTGTTTCGAAGTACAAAAGCATTAACAATACTAAAAAAAAAATCAAGCTAAGATTGTTGTCTTGCCTTTTATAGTTTAAATATATATACAACTATAAACAAATATGACTTTATGTAACACATAAAAACTATTGAATGATAGATATATTTATCAAAAACTATGAAAAAAAAATAAATAATGATAAATAAAGTTATAATTACAAAATGTGCTCACAACCTTTAACAGTAAATTTTCGAAATGAAAATCTTAAGACTATAAATTAAGAACATTAAAAAATATAACAATATTTATGTTACATTTTTTTTTTACCTACTATACCTCGAATAAGATGTTTATCAATTTTGAAAAACAAACTATTAAATGCTCTAGTTCTTGAAAATGCAACATATAGTTGACCATCAGAGAAACACGGTTTTTGAGATATTTCTTTTGTCTATATTTTTAATTTCGCGTTACGTAATATATAGACGATCCCTAAAAGAAAATACTTGAAACTAAAAAGATTTTATTTATTACAATATTTGAACAACCAAGGGACAATTTAAAGAATTATATCTTTAAATAGCAAATTATCAATCTCAGTATTAAAAAATACGCAAGAGCTCAGTAATTACATGAGTAACTAACTAATTATTTAAGTCTCATCTGAGAGAGAGAGAGAGAGAGAGAGAGAGAGAGAGGAAGTGTTTTAAAAACAGCACGTTAAAAAAGTAAAAAAGTCATGCAATAAATAACAGTAACTGGTTTTATTATGCTACCAATAAACAAAATTATTTTTACCTTAACTAAAAGTTAATTTCCAGCATTTCTTAATTAAGTTCCAGCTTCTCTTTAACTGTTGACAAATGAATAATATTGTAAATTTCACATCATATTAAATTTACAAAATTAAAACCATGTTTCAACAGTAAGCAAAATAATCAAGTGATGACAAAGACAACTAAAAAAAAAAATGAACTCAATTATGTTTAAGATTACAAATAATAAAAAAAAAATTAAAATCATTAAAAATTGAAACTGTTATTACTTGTTACTATAAATAGTAAAATTCATACTTTAAAATTAAAATATTAAAAATATTAAAAATTCATACATTAAAATTCATATTTTAAAGTATCTAATGTAAAATCACATAATAGACATCAACACCGCTTGACACTGAATTCTGGCAAAAAAAGTTTTCTGTTCATCAAGCAAAATTTCTTATATTTCTACAACAATTAATTTTATCACGCCTAGATCAATTTCTTTCATATGACAACAATTTCAAGTCACCTATAACCAGGCCCGACAAGAGGATGGGGGGGGGGGGGGAAAGAGGGGGTATTTTCTCCGGGATAAATCTATTCTTTATTAATAATTTAATTTATTTAATGAAAATACGCTTTTGAGAGTAAAAACGGAGACTAATAGCCTCTAAAACTTAAAAAATAAATATAGGGCACCAGCCCGCAGGTTTTTCGTAAGTTCCTTGCTCATGCCATGCTTTATAATATATATAATAGGCCTATATATATATAATATAAATATATAATATAATATAATATATATATATATATATATATATATATATATATATATATATATATATATATATATATATATATATATAATTTAATATATAAAGTTATATATATATATATATATTATATACATATATCTATTTTATTTATACAGTATATACTGTACTGTACATTAAACTGAACTTTTATTTTAACTTTTAACAATTATTAATTGTCATTTATTTTAATTTGTCAATTTACTTATTAACTTAACTAATAAATTTTTGTTCTATTGTTACAGGACCTCGCATAGGCAGCCTACTACATGCAGCTATGGATCATTACCAGCATAAATCTGGTGCTCAAAAAAGAAAAGAAAAGATTGCTCGAGAAAAATCAGCCAAGAAGGGTCAAAGTACGATTGAGTCTTTCGGATTTATAAATTGTAATCGTATTGATGGTGTTTCTGAGGATCAGATGTGCAAGATGAAGTCACAACTCTCAAATGTTGAAGTAGAGCCAATGCCAATTGAGGAAGATGAATTGTTAAATAGGAAAGTTATGAGTGCTGATGTGAAAGAGAATGTAATAGACGAAAATGAAAATATTCTTCCAAAGACATCAACTGCAAGGCTAGAAGAATTACAAGACATGGCAGATGATGTCCAACTAGTTCCATCAAATAACTATGATATTGGTTTAATTAAGGAATTATTTTGCACTGCTAAACAAATAGAAAAATTTGTTCATCATGGACCCATTGCTCACCCAACAAAATTTGCATTGCCTAAATCATTTCCAAAAGATGCATTGCCTAAATCATTTCCGCGCACGTTATTTCACATTGCCATGCCAAATGGCGAAAAAATTCCACGAGATTGGCTAACGTGGAGTGAGACGAAGAATGCACTTTACTGTTTTCCCTGCCGACTTTTCTCTAAAATGCCAGAAACCCATCGATCGGCATTATCTCTGCCAACAGGATATTCCAAGCCCAAGGACAATAAATGGAAGAAACTTTATGAAAAAATTCCTCATCATCAATCCAGCAGTGGGCATAAGATGTGTTATGTAGAATGGAGACGATTAGAAGAAAATCTCAGAGATAATACAACTATCAATTTTCTACTAAATGATAATATAAAGACAGAAGTGGAAAGATGGAGGCAAATACTTCATAGAGTATTAGATGTTATCTTGTTTTTGGGTGAAAGAAGTCTTGCATTTAGAGGCGATAGTCATCTAATTGGTGACCCCAAAAATGGGAATTTTTTGGGAATTATGGAACTCATTGGTCATTACGATTCCATTCTACATGATCATCTCGAAAAAGTAAAAGCTTCTCAACGGAGCCATAAGCGAATACAAGCACATTATTTGTCAAATGATATCCAGAATGAGTTTATTCAGTGCTGTGCAGATAAAGTCACAGATGTGATATTAGATGAGAGGGAGAAATGCAAATATTTTTTAATGATTGTGGATGCAACGCCTGATACAGCTCATATTGAGCAAAATGTTTTTATTTTAAGATACGTCTTACAGGACAAATTGACAGGAAAATATGAGGTAAAAGAGAGATTTCTGGAATTTGTAGATTGCAATAAAAAAACTGGTGAAGATATTGCAAATATAATTACTTCTACTCTTCAGAAACATAAAATACCACTGATGTGCTGTCGTGGACAAGGATACGACAATGGGAGTAATATGAAAGGTTCAGTCAAGGGAGCACAAGCTCGAATTCTTCAACATTATCCACTTGCTACTTACTCTCCCTGTGCTTGTCATAGTCTGAATTTATGCAGTGCACAAGCTGCTGAATGTTGTCCTCAAGTGATAACTTTATTTGGGATAGTGCAAAAACTGTATAACATATTTAGTAGCAGTCCTCAAAGAAGGGAAATTTAAAAAAAATATATTGGTTCGTCTCTTCATAGCATGTCCCAAACGCGCTGGTCAGCTAGAGTGGACTGCATTAAGCCATTCGCAACCCACCTTCCTGGTTTAATCAAATCAGTAGCTGATATAAGGAACCTAAATTTGTCTATAGAAAATCGTGCTGATCTAAATGGGATTATTTCATATATGGAATCGTTTGAATGCATTCTGATGTCCGCTATATGGTTCAAAGTACTTACTGCTATCAATTACACCAATCTTGTTTTACAAGCACGGAATGCTACATTGGATGTAGAAGTGACCAACATCAAACGACTAATTGATGAATTAAAAACTCTTCGAGATAAATGGGATTCTATTATGGTGGAGAGTAAATTAGTTGCAAACACCTTAAACATTTCTCAAGAACTTCCAGAACCTAGACGAAAAATTAGGAAGCGATTTGCTGATGAGACACCTGATGAAATTTCTCTATCAAATTCTGAAATTAATTTTAAACAAAACGTTTTTTATATATTATTGGACTGCATTATAGGGAATATCAGTAGACGATATGAAGCTGAATATGAAATTGACGAAACTTTTAACTTTCTCTGGAAGTATAATCATTACGAAGAGGAAGAAATTCGCCGAAGGAGTAAGGATTTTGTGAATAAATACAAGGATGATGTTTTCCATGGAGCCGATTGATGAGCTTTTGCATTTGAAATTTATCCATGATGTTAACATCAAAAATGATTTGGACCCCTTTCTTCTTCTCAATAAAATCAACAACTTGAAACTTATATGTCTTTTCCCCAACATTTGTATTGGCCTGAGAATTTTTTGTACATTACCAGTTACGGTAGCACAAACTGAACGGTCTTTTAGCAGACTGGCGCTTATAAAAAATGATCTAAGATCAACAATGACGCAAGGTAGAGTTTCTAGCTTGGGAATTTTAGCGATGGAGTGTGATTTAGCAAAAAAGATCAATTTTGACAGTGTAATTGCTGATTTTGCCAGTAGGAAAGCGAGGAAAGTTTTAATCTAACTTGCAGGTTTGATATATTTTAATTTTGTTGTAGTTAAATTATATATAATTTTTCACTGTATTGTATTTAAAATATACTTGTAAATAAAATACTGTATATAGTCATATTAAAAAATTATTTGTATCAAAAGTAGTATTATTCATGTCTGAAGCCCTAAGCCCTGAGGGGGCCCATCAGTTTGATATTACCCCAGGCCCGGTACCAGCTCTCCACGGCCTTGCCTATAACCATTTACACTAATAACTTCTTCGAGCCTAATATTATACATCTGTTATCATTAAATATATTACCAGTGACTATACTACTGTTACAACTGAATAAATGAACGTTAAATATATTTTTACAACTGAAAAATATAAAACAAAATATAGTAAGACTACAATGCAAAGTTATTTTTACCTTACAATCTTAATGCACAAAAATAATAAATGCAGAATCTCGTATAAATAATGAAGCAATGTCAGTCTAAAGTAATATATATATGTATATATATTCAAATTTTTTCTATGAGATAATATTTATATAGATTCAGAGAAATATAAAATATTCCGATATATAGGCACATTTATGTATATAAACTCACCTGTCAAAAATTACAGTCAGTTTTCCATGTTAAATACATAAAATATATATCTAATATAAAATAAAACAAAACATTAAACTTACTCAAATCAGTTACAGTTCCACTGTCTAAATATTTTTATTATTAACCCTTCTATTTAAAAAAAGAAACAAATGATTTGAAGTGACTAAAAAGCACTTTAGCTCTTTCCAATTGCACTAAAAAAATAAAATAAATATTGCTTTGCTAAGTTGCCTAGTTCTTAAGAATCTGAAAACAAATAAGTAAAAAACCAAGAACAAACAAACAAACATTTTTTTATTAAAACTACTCTATTTAAACAAATTAAATTAAACAGAGAACAACATTAATTCTCTTTGAAAGCTGAAAAACTTTTCAGCTCAAATTTGCTTGCAGACCTTGCTTATAAAACCACTTGAATAAGAAAAGCATCAAAAAAGCCTAGAAGCTACTTAAAAATGGTATATGTAACATTGAACTTTGAATGTTGACTGGAGTAGATATATATTTTTAAAAAATTCAAAATGATTTGTTCTTCTATAGCAAATAAAACCACTATAAATCTGAAGTTAAAAATGTAACAAATAAGTAAATACAAAGAAAAACATCATATATGAATTGAAAATCTATGTACCTGATAGAGATAAGCTGTTGTGATACCTGAGTAGTAGTTGCTAAATATTGTTTTTTCATGATGAACAAAATGTATTTATAGCAAAATGGTCTTGAATGAATTTTAGTAAATAAATAAAAGCAGTGAGTTCTAGTAATAAAACTACCTATTAATCATTTTTAACAGCTGACACCAACGTAAAGATAAGCCAAAGGTAACAACATTACGCAAAAAAATTATTAAAGATAATGCAATGTGTTTTCAGAATAGTTATATTAAAGGCTAGGCAACACTTAGACCTAAAGCAGTAACATCGCTTGACTGGTAAGGTTGATAAATCTTGCTCTACACGTTTGCCAAGTCACTCTACTTTGAAATCATGGAAACAACATTATATAAACATATACACTAATTATAAAACACAATATATTTTTTAAATGTTACTTAGCATATAAAAACACCCCACTTAACAATCTTGCACACATTAAAAATAATTGATGCTAATAAATGTTGTTTTATAGTTGTTAAAAGATTGCATATAAGTTTGCATGTATAATATGCTCAAAGTTTAAAATTTTTTGATAAATGTGTGTATGTGGTGATATATGTTATATAGTTTTTTTATAAATGTGTTTTTATAATAGTATGAAATGTATTATATCTAATTCAATGTACAACATTATTATTAAAAATGAAGTTAAGACTGTCAGTATATATTTATCTAAAGTAATGAAAAAGAATAAACCATTTGAAAACAAAATTAAAAATTTCTAATGAATATATATTTAGATACCTTAAAATGAAGCATAACACAACACTCTTTTGACAAATTCCAGAACAAATTTTTTTAATTTTTCTATACCTCATCATTTTTCCTTTGAGAAAATATACATATAGATATAGAGAAATATAAAATAGACTGAAATAAACGCAAACTTATGTATATAAACTTACATGACCACAAATAACAGTCTTATTTTATTTAACTTTTCATATTAAATACATAAATAAAATTTTATTCTCATTATTCTTTCTATTAGAAAAATCTTAGCCTATGTATGAGAAAATGAATTAAACTTACTAAAAAAGCGATCAGTTCCTCATAACTGCTCTAAAAAATAAAGCAAATACTTGCTTAAAATGTTTTAAAAAGACTAATGACAAAACTAAAACAGTTTTCTTAAAAAAGAAACATTGTACTAATAAAACTATTTTACCAGTCAATTTAGTTCTAACTTCTTCTAAAAAATGAAAAATAAATACATATTTAGATAAAATGAAGCATATTTTTTTTGACAATTTGAAATTTAAAAAAAGATTACAATAAATTATTTACTTGATAAAATTTCAAAAAGATTATATATTACCTATAATTTTAAGCTACTAAACATTATCTACTTAATGTCTAATTAAACATTTTGAACTCATGAATGAAACTATCTATCAATCATTCTTTAAACAACAGTTACCACCATAAAGATAAGTCAAAGATAACAACATTATGCAAAAAATTATCAAAGATAACGTTGTGTATTTTCAATATATTATATAAAAGGCTAGACAACACTTAGACCTAAGCAGTGCTTGACAGGTAAGAATGAAAAATATATCTCTACACGTTTGCCAAGTCACAACACTTTGAAATCATGGAAACAACATTATATAAACATATATAACTATAAAACACAATATATTTTTTTAATGTTATATAACATATAAAAACACCTCATTTAACAATTATATACACATTAGATAAAATACATTACATACTATTATAAAAACACATTTAAATAAACAACTATATAACATATATCACCTCATTTAACAATCATATACGCATTAGATAAAATACATTTCATACCATTATAAAAACACATTTATATAAACAACTATATAACATATATCACCAAATACACGTATTTATCAAAAACTTTTTTAACTTCGAGCGTAATATAAACATATATGCAAACTTTTAACTATAAAACTATAAAACAATATTAGCATCAATTATTTTTAATGTAACAAAGAATGCAGATACAATGCACAACATTGTTAATAAAAATGAAGTTATATCAGTCAGTATATATTAATTAGGGCTGTTCAGTATGCTAATTTGTTTTCAGAACATAGCTAATTGAAGTTTTTCCCATTCGACTATCATATTGTGGTTCAAAAATATTTTTTACTAAATTTTATTATTTGCCCTGAAGGTCCCTCAAAGCCCCTAAACATTTGACAGGTCCCTAATATTATTGAAAAAAAAATTATTTAAAAATATGTCAACTTGGTACTCAAAAGAAGCAAAATCATTTAAAAGTTTCAAAAACAAAAAGTATTTTTTATAAAAAAAAAACAATATTAGGTTTTTTAGGGCAAATAATAAAATTTAGTAAAAAATATTTTTGAACCACAATATGATAGTTGAATGGGAAAAACTTCAATTAGCTATGTTCTGAAAACAAATTAGCATACTGAACAGCTCTAATATTTATCTAAAGCAATGAAAAAGAAGAAACCATTTAAGAACAAAATTAAAAATTTCTAATAAATACATATTTAGATACCTTAAAATGAAGCATAGAACAACACCCTTTTGACAAATTGCAGAAGAAATTTTCTCAACTTTCTATTCCTTATTATTTATCCTTAGAGAAAATATATATATATATATAGATATAGAGAAATATAAAATAGACTGAAATAAATCGAAAATCCTAATTTATGTATGAGAAAATAACTTGAACTTACTAAAATAAGCGATCAGCTCCTCTTAACTTCTCTAAAAAATAAAACAAATACTGCTTAAAAAAAAGTTTTCTTAAAAAAGAAACATTGTACAAAAAAAAACTATTTTATAAATCAATTTAGTTCTAACTTATTCTAAAAAATGAAAAATAAATACATATTTAGATACCTTAAAATGAAGCATAACACCAACACCCTTTTGATAAATTCCAGAAGAAATTTTTTTTGTTTTTCTATTTTGAACTACTTTTGCTAAGAGAAAATACATATAGATATACATATATATATATACATAACAAACTAACAATTATTTAAACTTTTATTTTAAAAAATAAACAACATTAATTCTTCTTGAAAATAAGTGTATCAGCTCCAATTTGCTTGCTGATTTTACTCGAAAGACCGCGTGGAATATATAACTGCGCTTAAAAAAGTCTAGAAAACTAAGAAATAGTGTATTTTACATAGTGCAGAATTGTAACTAACAAAACGAACGATAGGCGTAACAATGCGTAACTATGCGCACTAATAATAATATTCATTCGGCTATTAATATTTTGAGAATAATATGCTAACATTAAAAATGGCTTCTTTGACCCTGTGAATAATACGATAAATTGTGTTGGTAGAAATTCCATGGCAATCTCTGAGAACATGAAAAAAACACATTTGTGCCAAAAAAATGAAGAAATATCATTATTTGGTGACGTACTGAAATGCTTTGATTTCGCCTTGAATAATGCTGCAAATCATTTTTGAGTTTTATTTCTAAAAAATCTAACACAGGTCTTGGGACTCGATACTGCTCTCGAAAAACATTGTCGGAAATATCTTCGTTAAAGAAGCGACCATTAAACTAAAATATTAAATTAAAAAAAAATTACTATAAAATTACGAATAAGCAAAACAATCTTTTAAAGAAAAGTTCACGCGTTTTAAGCCTAGATGTGCTTAGTTGTTCGATCGAAAAACGTATACCTTTCTTCCGATCAACTAGACATGAAAGTTATTAAGTTTTAAATGTTTATACGCAAACCTCTCGAGGCAATCGGTGGTGAAGCTCATTTTCAGCAACTTCTAAATCTATGTCTTCATCAGAAAAAATTAAATCTATTTAAAATTGTAAGTTTAGATAAAGTTTTTTAAAAACCAAATACTAAAATGTTGAAAACTGTCTTGGCATAGAATTGATAGAGTTCGCGTAACAATTAATAAAAAAATCGTAGTTGTGAGTGACGTATTATTTCCTTATGTTTTATAGCAATGGTCAAAAAAAAATCAAACAGCGAGAAAAATTTCGTGTTTACGCATTTTTTTTCGTAAAATAATTTACTTAAAAAATTTCGTTTTTACGAAAGATTTTTTTTCCCGATAAAATCTTCGAATTATTTATAGCATTGGCCCCAGATTTCATTTTATTGTAAATTTTTGTTATTTAAAAAGATATAAATATATGCTATTAGTTAATTTGATATTTTATCTATTTTATGCCTAATAATTTGTTGTACGTATTTTAAGGGGATCTTTGTAAATGGGGGGTTGTTACTAAGAACCTTTAAAAACATGGAGAATATTGTAGTTTTGCGCATTACTATCAAGTTACACAAATTTTATTTATGTATAATAAATAAAATTTGTGTAATATTAACTAATTAGTTAGCTTAGTCTGTATTTGCAACACTTTTGAGGAAAAAAAGAAAACATTCTTATATATGTAGATCATTGTTTTACATTTTTTTATTTTATTTTATTCACCTGGTCACCATTATAGCAAAAAGAGGGGAGGAACCTCTTTATTAGAGTCAAAATATTTAAGAAAATTAAATTTCGAGTAACAAAAGGAATTTTTAGTAAATGGTTGCAAAATACCGTTTACTAAAAATTAATGAAAAAATGGAATTTTTAAAGAGGCCAAACAAATAATATAGAAATGGTCTGTGTTGAACAGACTTAACAAGACCCGGGTCGGGTCAGCTTGGTTTACAAATTTTCATGTTTACTTATCTGTTATAATTTTTATTTTAGGTTTGTTATATGATTCATTAATGCATTAAGTTTACATATTTTTTCAAATTTATTATACCCATGTTTGATCGTAAATTAAATTTTTTTTGTTTGAAACGTATTTGTACTCAGTTGCTTAGTTATTTATAATAAACTTTGTTACTTTTAATAAATTTATTTAAAAGTGTGCATTAAACATTTTTAAGTTAACAATTTTCTTTTCTAAATAAAAATTAATCAAGGGGATACCAAAAAATTGATAACTCCTGTATAATATAATTTATTCTTTTTGTTTCTTATTATGTTTCGTGTTATAAAAATTATTTCAAGGATTTCGTTGATACTTTCGTCAATTTAAAGCATGACGAAGTGTTATTATTTTGTGTCAGTAACTAAAAACGTATTGTGTAAAATTTAGGAAGGTCGATGAAAATGGTTCTGCTTTACACTGTTATGACCTATGCCATTTGTAAATTGCTCAAATAATGTTAAGTAGTAATTGTAAATGTTAAGTAGTAGTTGGTAAATTATTTTACCTCCTCATACTTTTTATGTTAATTTTACAGATGGGTTAATTTTTTCAAGCTGAAGGCGGTTTTCTAAAAGGGTATTAGTTTTGCAACATTAAATTTTGGAAAACAGCCACTATAAATTAATTATGTAACAGACCGACCAAAACCCGTATTACGGGTTGCTTTTTGCTAGTTATATATGAATAGGTAAGTTTTTAATACATACCTTCACTATCTTTAACTACAATGGTTTTTATTGGCTTCTCTGCCTTCTCCAAAAAACAAGCGATACTTTAAAATAAAATGCTAACATTTATATATGAAAAAATAACTTTTTAATTCCTACTTTTACCATCTTTTACTACGAAACTATTTTTTGTATCTGCCTCCTCTAAAAAAAAAAAAAACATTACAATAAAAAGGTAACGCCAACAAATTGTAAAGTGATTTATTATTATATACTTTCACTGTCTTTAACTGCAAAGATTTTTATAATTATCTGCCTCCTCTAGAAAATAAATTATAAATAAAAAAAAACGCTAACAATTACAAATGAATAAGTAAGTTTTTAATTCATACCTTCACTATCATTAACTTCGTAGCTTTTTGTTGGTGTCTCTGCCTTCTCTTGAAAATAAGCCATAAAATAAAATAATGAAAAATATATATGTTTTAACTATAAATTAAAATAAGAAAACATTACCCAAAAATTTTACCCGAGTATAAATTAAAAAACAATAAAAATTGTTTTCATATTAGTATTACCCGTAGAAAGTTAAACAAATATTAGGTTTGAAAAAAAAAATTATTTTATAAATAGTATGAAAACTTTATCGAAGTAACAAGTATACCAGTAACTTCTACAGAGTAACAATATTTAAAAAAAACATTGAATCGCTCATCTCAGCGTTTTTTAAAGACGTTTAAAGACCTGTATTATGCGTAATAAAATTTAGACGCCTTTGATTAGCTATGGGTTTCTGAGACAAGTGTCTGACAAAGATGTCTTTTAAACTAAAATAAGTGAACATAAACTCTCAACCGCAACTAATATATTTAAAGATATAATGTCACTTCACTTTGTTTAGCTCATTCTTTTTCTGGCGCTTATCTTTATTTATACCTTTTAATTTTTAAAACTGATCAAAATGAGCTTCTTGATTCACAAAAAAGTTATGCCAAATATTGTGCGGCCGTGGCACAGTGGTTAGATCGCTTGCTCTATAAGCAGGAGATCCAGGCTTTGGACATAATTCGCGTCATGGTAAGGAAGGAGGCGTAAACTTCCTGGTTAAATACACTGCCGCGGTGCTCTGTGACAAGACCGTAAGGACTTCTTGGGTCATCTTAATAACAAATTAAAAAAATATATATTATAAATAAGGACAATTTCTGGGCAGATTTTTAGTTATGTTTATTATGGCTACGCGTTGGTACTGGACTCGTTGAATAAAAATTTAATCAATCTTTATTATAACAATTGATATAGTCAATTTTATTACCTAATGGAATCATTTAAATAAAGCCACCACGCTCTCGTCTTTTTTTCAAACTTGTTGAATTCAACGCTGTAAATCTGACATTATAAAGATAATTATTATTTGTTAGTGAAATCTTCTTCGAACAATAACAGGAGGGGTGACATAGGTAAAAAGTAAGGCCTTCGGTTTGTCGGCGTGCGGTTCTCAAATATTGACCGAAGGCCTTCGGTTGCGGGTATGCGGGTCATTTTTCAATTTTAGAAGGCCTACAACAGAAGGACTCGCATAATGTATGTAGGGTGTTAGAATTTTAAGGCCTTCTGTTTCAGACCCGCGCTTTATTTAAAATTCGCAAAGCAAAATTAAATAAGGCTTCTTAAAGGAAAGTAGAGTGGTCTGATAAAGCAGTACAGTTAGAATCAAAGAAATATGTTAAACTGGATCAAGATGGTAACAATATACAATGCTTGCTATGTAACGTCGGAATCAAAGTCAGAAAGGGAAGATCTTTTACTACCCATGAGTACGATCAACATTGTAAATCCATTTCACACGAGGTATCTGTTCGTAAAGAAAATGAAGCTGGGCTTTTTCAAACTAATATACATCAGTTTTCTCCTATTGTTTTTCCAAATGTTTCGAAATTAGAAGTTGTGGCTAATTCTGGAATTGATTTTAGTATTATTCCTGAAGCTAAAATAAAATTAACTAAACCATGCGATGGTGTATTTAATAAGAGAAGAGAACTTGTAGTCCTTTTTAACTCCTATGGCATTATGGATAGTATGATAAATAATAACGCAAAATTTGTTAAAATAGATGATAAAATTTATCTTCATAGTATTCAATGTACTGGAAATCACATCAAAAAATGTGATCATTGTATTAATTTATGTAGAAATTGATAATTCACTAGTCGATTGGAAGCAATGGGTGTTGTAAGAGATGTTTTAGAAATTATCGAATCATCTGAAATTCGTGAAGCAGACTTAGAAGCACTTAAAAAATTTGTAAAGAGCTGTAAACTTAATCATGCACGGTGTAATGAAAAAAGAAAACTGTTAGCTGCAAAGGTCAGTTTGAAAATTGAAGGTATTACTTTATTATTAAATCTGAAAAAAGAACTTTTGGCGATTGGAATTACTGTTTCAGAAACAAAACAAATTTCAGGATATGATTCCTTTTTCCAATCATTTCATAAACTTTACAAAGAAAATCCTAAACAAAATGGAACTC